GGGAAGGGGAAGGGGAAGGGGAAGGGAGAGAGGAGGAACATCCACTGTGTTAGCTTAAGGCCCCAGGTCTGCCATGGGCTTCCCCACGGCAGCGGTCAGAAGGTGTTGGGGCTGGGGAGCACAGCACACCCCTCACTGAGGGTCCTGGTCTGTAGTCTGGGCAGGGGGCAAGTAGAAGAGCGGAGGAAGAAGGGCTGAGGAAGGTGCTGTGTCAACCTGTCATGGAGGCCACCACACTAGCTGTTCCCAGACTTGTTTCAGTGTAACAAAGGATAATCTGGAGGAGCAGACGGTGCATGTCATCAAGTTTGTGGATGACATAAAAATGAGAGGTACCGCTCAGAGGGACAGGAGCCCTAGTAAATACAGCACCCCAGTACTGCACGAGGGTGGAGGGGTCCTGCAGAAGGGTCGGCTGGGGCTGACTGGGTGGGGAGCAGCTCTGAAGAAAGGCCCTGGAGCTGCCGGTGAACAGGAGCCAGCCAGTGTGTCCTGGCAGAAAGAGAGGCCAAGAGCACTCTGGGCTGTGTAACAGCAGCACAGTGAGGAGGCTGAGAGAAGTGATCATCCTCCTCTGCTCTGCACTCATGACATCATATCTTAATACAGCAAACAGTATTGGGCCCCAATACAGGAAAGGGCATCAACAAGGTGGAGAGAGGTCAGCAGAGGCCACCAAGATGCCTGGGGCCTGGAGCACTTGCCATGTAAGAAGTGACAAGGGGAACTGGACTTGTTCAACCTAGAGAAGAGATGGCTTTGGGGGACCTCATGGCAGCCTTCCAACATGTGTGAGGAGGCTGTCAAGGGGCCAAAGCCAGGCTCTTCACCATGGTGCCTGGGCATAAGTCAAAACAACAGTGGTTTCAAATGGATAAGAAAAAAATATCAGTCTCGGAATAATTAAGCAGTGGTTCATGGATCCAGAAGGGCTGTGGGTTCTCTATCCTTAGAGTTTTTCAGGATCAAACTGAACAAAGTCCTGAGCATCTTGGTCTGAATTCAGTGTTGACTATACTTCGAGGAGAAAGCTCGACTGGAGATCTCACAGGGTCCCTTCCTGCCTGAGTGATTCTCTGATACTATTTCCAGGAGAAACTATGTGGAAGAGATGGAAAGTCTCAGTGACCAAAATAACTCCAGATCTTGAGTTCCCTGTGCAAAGACCTCTGAAGCACTTGGAGAGGGACCAGCACTTTACAGGTGCAACAGCAAACAAAGAGGGCATTTCCTTCCTTTATATCATGCCTGTGGACCCTGTGTCCACAGACTGCCACCAACCTCCCTCTCTGCTTTTGTGTCTAAGCCATAAATAAACCCAGCTTGGCTACAGGAGGGACTTCAGTGTTTAAGGGCTTGGCAGAAAATGTTCTGGGAGCTTCTGGGGCTACAAACATGACTCAAGACTTGTCAGCTACTTTGAAAGACTCACTATCTCTGAAATGCTTAACATATACTTACATGGCCCACTCCAGCTTCTCATTCTTGATGGAATTATACAGTGTCTGAAACAAGAACGCGGTATTAGCTGTGTCTCTCATGGAAGACATGTCTGAGTTGTGGAAATCATCTCCTCCACTCCCTGTCTGTGTTCTTGGAGAGATACCTTCCTTGCTGAACTGTCCTGATGTATTCACCAGTGAGCAGGACAACTGCCCTGCTAGACCCTTTTTTGTCTATGCCACACTGGGTATTGGCCTGGACACATCAGCAGCAGAGGAGCCTGGCATCCAGCCTTACTCAGAAGCCTGTATAGGACAATTTTGACTAATTCTGGGTGCTGCACCTAGTCCTGAGTGAATTCTGGCCTACACAAAGATGGCAGAAGACTCCGGGGTATGCCAAGACACCTCCAGTGTCTCAACTAGGGGAAAGGGACAGTGGAGGCTTGAACACTGCCCTGAGAAGCAGAGGAGGGATGAATGACCATAGGGATCATCTTTTCCAGTTCCTCGTGTGCAAAATCCCAGTGGCTTCCCTGCGGCACTGGGAAAGAGGCAGGAATGGGCTAGGAAAGCAGAATATGGAGGCGGCCCTGACCACACTGAGGGGTGCGGTAGGATGAGGTCTGTTGGGAGGCAGTGGGGTCGTCCAAAGCATGATAGTGACACCCCTGATGTGGCACTGTCATTTCAGCCTCCTTCCGTACAGCAGAATCCAGGTCAGGTTGCTGGAATGTAGCAGGTGCAGACAACAGTGGTGGTGTTATACTCACTTTGGGGTGTTTAACCGACATCCCATGGCACTGAGCTAGTTGTGTCAGAGCACTACAACTAATTACATGAGTGAAGGCAGAAAAAAGTATCAGTGCCAGACGGTCACATTTGGGGGCGGGGAGTACCTTGTTCTGTGCATTGTCTGGTGTGTCACAGAGCTGCTGTGGGGGAGAGGGAAGCCTGGTGCGCTCTGAGGGAGGATATGCCACAAATCTGGATAAAACACCACCAGTGAACAGACCGCTGGTGGTTCACTGCAAGTTAGCAGAAGCTACCCATGTGGGTTACAATTCTTCTAATGAAACAACTGTGCACTGGAAAATGCTGATTCAAGGGCTCAGAGTGTCCCAGTAGGTGGCACTACAATAATAATGACGGTATCCCACTGTCTACTTGTATCACGTTACCTTCAGCAAATCCTTTGCAAAGTCCTTCCCATCGTTCAGCCCATCCAGGTTTGCTATGAACTGTTGACACGACATCTTTTTGCCAATATTCTGTAAGGCAAAGAAGCAGGTCATTAAACTTCTGGAGAGTTTTGACTTTAATCAGAGTGTCTTTTAAAAAACAATTTTACATATAGCAGTGAAGCCTGGGTTTGCCTCAAGAGCTCAAAGCTGAAAGGTCTTCTGCTCTGATATGCTATTGGGCTCTTTGCTTTATTTGCTCATGCTAGCACCCAAATGTTTCAAACTACCTCTTTTTTAATGGTGGAGACAAAACACCTGAAAAGAACCTCTCCAGCTCTTACTCCAGACTTTCTAAGTGATCTCACCTCTGGTCTCCAGGTTGGTCCTGGTACAGGGTCTGTGTCTCAAACCTCAAGACAAGCACTCAGACTGCCTTGAAATTGCAATGTTTGGATGGGTCTCCAAGCCTGTCGTGTGTGAGATTGTGTAAGCACGCAGTGTCAGCATCTGAAGACAGCCAGCACTGGGCAACGATTTGTCCTTCACAGAAACTCTTATTTTTGATTGCCATTATGAAAAGAGATGATCCAGCTACTGGTACTGCGTGAACCTGAGTGCTGTGGCATTTGAGGGAAATCACGTACACTGGGAGAATCTCACAATCTGGACCATGCTCATCACCAACCAATGTCGAGACTATTTGGTGCTGATGCTTTCAGGTCACCTGGCATCCCTGATATCTGGCTGTGGCATTTGTCCTCCCAATCCCTTTACCTCTCACCATAGCCAGGTGAGTCACTTTCTCAGCCTGTGAGGGTCAAGGGGCTGGAGGCAGGCAGCCTTTTTCCAAGCCTCCCCCTGCAATCCCACCTCTCCAAAGGACTGGAGCAGAGGTGTGGAGGAGTCAGTGGGAATTGCAGGGTTCAGAAAAAGGAGTCTGATATCACAAAGTAAAGATAGGTGTCTCCAATGCCATGTCATATTGCAGCCTTCACACCCTGGAGTGAAGTCCCCCAGGACAGACTCCATGACGACATCACACAGAGTGGACAATGGACTTCAGGAGAGCATGAGCTGCCACCAGCAATCCTAAGGTTCCCAACAGCATCCTGACACCAGGTGGGCTTTGCATCAAGGTATCAACAGGGTGGCCACCCAGGAGGACCTAGGAGGATGGCCAAGAACAGCAGAGTCAGGACCCTGCTTAGGAACTCTGAGGAAGAAGGGCCTCACTGGGTCACTGGGAGGGGATGAAGCTGCAGCAGATGTATCCTCTGTGCAAGAAAATAACCTCTTGAAAGAGACTGACACAAGAAAGCCCTGCCCACAAACACACACAACAGATGACCTGGAGGCTTCTTCCCAAGCGAGGCCTTGGGATTAATTAGCACACAATGACCCCGCACACCCCCCTGCCATCTATGTGTGCAGACACACTCTTTGGCTACACAGGGAGCCAGCTCTGCCTTTGAGCAGCTCTTTCGGATACTGTTAATTATGCCTCCTGTTGGTGCCAGCTCCAGATGAGCCGGCACCCTTCGGAGATCCAAGAAAAAGGGGAAGAAAGCACTGCTACAAATCTGCAGTGCCTGGGGACACGGGGCAGCACAACACGAGGCTCAGCCGTCTTTGCTGTCTCACAGGGGAGCCCCATGGCTGATGCCCATAACTGGACCCCATAGCTAGAGGCCACCGCCAGCTAGTGCTCAGTGGGTAGAGGAGCTGCAGAAGAGCTGCAGGGAAACCTGCAGACACGCTGTTTTTTTCAGCAGAGGGAAGAGAGATGTGTGTACTTGATGGCTGGTGAATTACAGGGGAAAAAAAAAAAAAAAAAAAGAGAAGCCAGCAGCAGTATTGCATGCGGATGGAGAAAGGAAGGCACACATAAAAAATGCAGTAATGAACCTAGACGAGGGAGGGAGTTTGGAGGTGAGGTAGGTATGTTGCCTGAGACCTTGAAGCACCAAATTACTTTGCACAGAGAGAAGGTGACTGCTTCTCCCCCTGCCTTTGGGGCAGGAAAGCAGAGTGCGCAGCACAGGCCTTCTGCCTGCAGAGATCTTGTTGCAGTGGCCCAGCAATGAATGCAGAGGCCAACACATTTTAGGAGGTGAGTGGACACTCTGAGACAAAGTGGCACAAGGGCCTTGCAGGCCCTTCTTTGGGTTGCTCACGTATTGCGTTCAGGACATACATTAATCACAGGGGATGGCTTCTTTTTTATTCCGTGATCTGTCTCTTTCTCTTGCGCAAGCCCAAACTGAGACAGAGGGATGAAAACACATACCCCTCTCTGACAACAAGAAGAGGTGATGAGAAAGCTCCAGCAAGGATGCTGATACTGCGAACAGCTTGTTGGACAAGGTTTCGAAGCACTGCAGAGTCAGGGGCAGGATTCAGGCTGGCTGTCAGTAGGATTGAGCACAGGATGGTGGGATGGCTCGGATGCAATACAACCTCAAGTCAATAATATCGTAACACTTCAGTTTGCCTCTTTGAGAAATGGGCTGGAGCGAGCCACTCAAATATAAAGCCCTGCAAATGCCTCCAAATCATCACCAGCTGAACAGAGGGAAAAAAAAAAACCCCACTCCAGGACATGGACTTTGCAGCTTGATTTGATCGACGCTTGCAAAGAAACAGTTCTGTAATCACAAGTGCCTCATTATCAACAGCACCAGTAGCAGGGACTGCCTGAGCTTCTGCACACTGCAACAGTATTTGGCAAGTATGGGAAATCCCAGGAACAACTCTGGAAAGGGCCATTGTGAAGGTGCAGCAGCCTGCCTTCTTGTGCAGTAGGCCACCTTGCTGACTCAGTAAGATCATCACAAGCAGACATAATCTTCAGGGGAATGTCTCTGTACACCTCAAAACTCAGCGTTCAGGTGTTCTATGTCCCTTGCTGAACTGGGACCCAGGGTAGGGAGATGCATCTTCATTTCTGGCCAGCCACACAGAGGGGGGCATTTTGCTTTTTTGTGGCGCATCAGTCACTTACCAGCAATAGAACAAGCCAGCAAGGCTGCTCCACAGACACATACAGCTACTATTCCTGACACGTCCCCCTGGCAGAAAAGAACTTCATCCCATCTTTGCTTGCTCCCAGCCATGCAGCATAGCATGAGAAATCACTGTTGGACAATCAGCTAGCACCATGGTGTGCTTGGATGGAGGGCGAGCGAGTGAACGGCAGATTAAATAGATAAGAAGGGATGGACAGTTAGATGGAAAGGGTAGGGGCAGCATGGGAACGGAGGGACAGAGGTTCATGGCTGCAGACAGTGTATGAGAATGGAGACAAACAGAGACAAGGTGCATGACAGTGGTTAGAGTGCATAAGAATAAGGAAGGATGAGATGGATGTGATGGTAAGTAGACATGGCTGATCCTGCCATCCCATTCTTTCAATCTAGTGTAACTCCCCTGTTTAGAGTTGGGTTCTTTCCTCCTTTGAGCCTCAGACATTTGCTGCTGAGCTAACTCACCCAAGATGATCTCAGACCATCTCCTGAAGTGTCCAGGATGGCTCTATCCACCTCCAGAAGACTCTGGGCTGTAGCCTGGCATTCCTTGGCTGTTGCCAAGGCCCAGCATTAGGAGGCTGGGTGTATGAGTATGGAGCTGGGTGCTGAGTGGGAAAAGCAGGTGCTGTATGAAAGCCCCAAGAGAAGCAGGTTCCTGGGGGCCAGAGGCCATGAAGAGAGGCTCTCTTGGGTGCCCTCCCCAGCACCCCCTCTGTGAGGTGTTAAACCACTTGAGTTGCTGGGCTGGAGGTCCCAGGCATCAAACATCTCAGCTGCAGAGTGGTGAGTGAGGCACATCTGTGAGCTCCCCAGCACGAGTGTCATGCCCCTAGCAGGCCCTGCTTTTACTTAGGCTCTTTTGACCTCTCCCAAATACCCATCCTCATGGGAAAAAACCCAAGCAACTACATTTATGCTTCAGCATGAAGTGATGGTCACTGGTCTGACTGGACCGTGGGCGTGTTCTAGGCTGCAGAAGCAAAATCACCCCGCTACAGGGAACAAACCTGCAAACGTTGGGTACCAATGACCCCCAGGCCATGCAAAGCTGCTGTGGGCAGACTGGTGTCACTCTGCAGGTGATGCCAGTGGCTGCTCATATCTCAGAGCTCTTCAGCTCTCCCAGTGCTACTAACACAGCAGTATTGCTAACACCAAACCATAAGCTTGGCTTAAGAAGAATATCACAGGGTTTGTAAGATTAATAGCAAGGGACGTGTGGAGTTAGGAGCTGCCAGGGATCCCATCTCAAGCTTTGTTCAGTGGTCATGAGAGATGCTGGCCTGCTTTTTGATCAAACGCTAAAGCTTGTCACATTACACTGTGACTCCAGAAGCCAGGCTCTGCTGAAGTACCAAAAAGCAACTACGAGTGCTGGTGATGCATAGGTGTTCATTTGTCACTGTCCTTCTGTGGCCAGCAGATCTGAACGAAGGATAACATTGATGGATGAAAAAGAGCCACCGCAAAGCTGTGTCTCCGAGGGGCAGAGATGGAGCAGAGGAGTACTTACTTTGTCATAAGATCTCCTGGAGCTCAAACAGCACCAGCAGAGCAAGGTAGAGAGTTGCAACAACCTGGATTATACTACAAGGCTTGTAATGTTTGTTGGTGACTGCTGGCTTTTAAACACCAACTCCAGGTGCTTCTATGAAAATGTAGTGTCTCATTTTAAAGACAGGAAGGTCTTCTGGACAGTTTTGAAACAGGGTCTGAGTGCACCTGTGGTAGAAAATCAACAGTACTAAGGCAAAACCCCAGTGTGGCCAGATGCAAATCTCACGTTTTAAAGCCAGACTCATTACTTTTACGCCTTGCCTCAATATATTTGCTGGCCACTGCTGGAATGGTGAACTAGCCCATTCTAGAGACACTGCTGTAAGGAACTGCCCCTTTAGAGAGACACATCAACCCCCCTTTCCTAACCCAAGGAATTTCCCACTCCATGGCAATGCACAGTAAAACACTGGAACACACACACAATATTAAAAAAGGAAATGCAGTAAAAAGTGATATGCGGTATCATGACAGCATCTTTAACAAAAAGGGGTGACAGATCAAGTCACACAATCCCAGGCACACTGCAATTTATGGAGGTTTCTTTACACAGGGAGGTTTTCATGTGGTGCATATCAGCTGCTAATGGGTTGCTAAGTAGTGAAGGACACTGCACAACCACTTAGGAATCCAGACAAACAAAAATCCTTTTTTTTTTTTTTTTAAACACAGAAAAAACAAGTCAAATGCCAGTGCTTTAAAGCAGAACACTAGAATGACTGCACTTACCACCTGGTAAAGGGTTAAAGAGCAGAAAGAGAGGTTCCAGGAGCAGAAGGAAGAAAAAAAAAAAGGAGGAGAAGGAGAAGAAGAAATTAATGTTACACATGCAGAAAAATAAAGAGAAGATTTTTTCAAAGAAAAGCTCAGCATTTCTTCACCTAATTTGTAGATTTCAAAACCTATTTTTTCTTGCCTAGATAGCATGAGATAATTTCTTCTTACCAGGCCTCTTAGCCAGCTTGTCAATGAAAAATAGAAATGGTAAGGTTTTGGAGGTTTAGGGGTTTTTTGGTCTTTTCAATAATGCCTACCTTCCCAGAGACAAATTTTGGATTTTTTTTTAATCAAAAAAAATTAAGACAAAATAAGGTTATTTTGGAGTGAAGTTGCACAGTTTGCTTTTTGCCACAATGCTGCTTTTGCTGTTGCAGGAAATCATTTGAAGAAAATATTTCCTTGGCTCCAACCATTTCAGCTGAAGGATGAATGCTTTGTGAGACCCTCCCGGGTACCGGCCCCACTGCTATCCCACCACGTGCAGAGACACAAGTTACTGGCCACTGTGTGGGTGGGGATGGACCCAGTGGCCAGTGTAACACTGGTCACAGGCTGCGTGTTCCCCAAAGGATGAGGTCACGGCAGCTGTAACCAGTTTGGTGCAGGCCACTGCACATCGGGAAAGGATGCTCTTGCAGAGACCACTAACTCCCTTCACCAATTGCTGTGTTCAAACCTTGCCACTGTCATGAAGGCAGTATCTGTGCTGTAAGGGTGGGAAGGGTCTCCCAGCTGGACTGTCAGGATGTCACCAGTGAAGCTGGTGGCCTTTGCATCTTTGCCATCATAGGTGAAGAGCACTCACGTAGTGTCCTCTTCCCACGCCCACTGAAAAAGGCTCCTCTCAAAGATGATTATAAACCACTAAGCAAAAAAAAGAGCTAGTTTGTGGTCTACTGTTCTCTCATTAACAGACTAATGAAGAGAAAATCAGGGCAAGCCTCTGCAGATGCACAACAAACTGTTACCAGCTGGAGGCAGAAGAGGACTCTGATGATAAAACTTGGAAATCATGGGCCTGTGGGGCAGAAAAAGGGTGTGTAGGTTTCACATGCACAGGCTGCTCTAACAAGCCATCCCCCCCATGCCCCCTCCATCTTCACACAAGTTCTGGGAGTCCGTAGTTCCAGGTCTGAGCTCTCAGAGGGGCTATGAAAGAAGGTACTTCAGTGACCTGAGACTTGAGGAGCCCCTCTACCCCTGGAAAGGGGACACAGCCATGCTCTATGCCTGCACCATAAGGCTGGAGAGCAGGGAGAAGATCTGGGTCAACGGTGCCTACCACAGCACCAAGCAGGGCACAGAGTCCATGCATACTTCCACATGTATGCTACGGCAGGGGTCTCCAAGGGTATACAATGTCCCATTGCTGTCCCCTACACCCAGTCACATCTCCCCTCTGCAGTTATTTTTCCCCCACTCTGCTCTGCTCTCTACACTCTGGTTGACCTTTGCTAGACAAATCCTGAAAGAGCCTCTAAAAGGTGGTTAGAGATCTTCTTACAGCCTCTGCTGTTTTCCAACCACACCTTTGGGCACTGAGCTCTGCTCACCCTTCTCTTTGCCCAGAGGCCCCTCAGATATGAAACTCTCCAGTGGCTGCCTGTTATGTCCTGGGGAAAAGGAACAACTGGGACTTACTTCACGTTTTGGGAAGGAAAGATCAAATCTAGACCTGTATGAAAGCACTGACTGCTTCGCAACAGTTTCTGGGATGAGGGGAGCCTCAGGTGTCAGCACTGCAAGAAACAGCAGCACAATTGGTGCTATTGTTTGCCAGCCCCACAGAGACTGGTGGTGAAGACCTCTCCATGAGACCTCCTGGGACAGGGCTGATGCATGCAACACATCCTGGGAAGAAAGCTGAATTGCTTGCGCCTGTTTAAGATAACTGATGTCAGCAGGAGATATGTCTTTGGCTTGACTGTGGAGCGACACTAAGAGGACTGTCCCCAGGTCTAGCACCCAAAATTCACCCTGGAGCTGGTCAGAGTACTCTCTGCCAACCTATCTCGATTTTCCAGCAACACATCCTGCATCAGGGGACAGACCTCTATACTGGGAAGGAAAAAAGGAAGGTTGCATCTCCAAGTACTACTTACGTGGCCATGAAGGTCTGTGTTTAGCAGCATCAGGGCACAGGTGAGCGTATGAATCCCATCTGAAACACAAAACAGTGAGACAGCTATGATTACTCCCCTTCTCACGCAGTTTCGGTGTTTGTTGCTGTGGCAGCCCACCCATTGCAAACCAAGGCTAGTCGCTACGTCTGGGGACCTTGAAGAATACCTGTTTCCCTCAAGTGCATGAGATGATAGTTTTTAAAAAAAGATATCCTCTTTTCCCTCAAACTTTACCTTTTCCTGAAACGATCACCAGGGTATTGGCTTTAAAGCAATTTTGTCCATGGCTTTCTAGAGACCAGACTTTCTGCTGAGTCTTCCTCCATATCCATTTTGTGCTGATGGCATTGCAGAATGGGGCAGAGGCCCTGGCCAACAGAACTAGTTTGCCCCCAGTTGATCACAGTCACAGGAGTTTGTCATCATTCCCGGGCAGCCTGTAAGCTCTCGATTTGTTCAGCAAACATTATTACTACAAATGAGTGCAGCATTTTTGGCTCTCTCACTTAATAAAACTCACACGAAGTTTTCCTTCCATTTGAGACAGCACAACACTCTCTTCTCTGCCAGGTAGCCTGGTGGCTTGCTGTAATTTCAAAACCATGCTGTGTCCTGCAGCTGTCCAAGGTCTCCACACACCACCTCACAAGAGTGAGATCCAAATGCACTCTGACACATCAACTGGTCCTTGCAAGGACTTCACAAAAGGGATAGAGAGCACCAGGGAGGAGGCAGGGGCAGAAATACTACAGCCTCGGTCTTTGGCCTTGCTCTTGGCATGACCTGGCGCGCTCACACAGACGGGCTGCTCCACAGACCAAGCCAGACATGACACGCTGCTCCCGGCTTCTTTCCCTCAGGCACGCCGCTCTGGGAGTCGGTGCCCTAGGGCCAGGCTGTGACTTATGCCCAGGCCTGGCTGGGGAAGTGGCACTGGTCTCTTCTTGTGGGGGTAGATGCGCAGCCACGTAGAGCCAGCCACGGCCTGTCCCCATCCTGGTCAGCCACGAAACAAAGGCACCATTTGCGCAGAACAGTGACAAGCCCTGAGCAGCCCATGCGCAAGGCCAAGCTCTAACCACTGCCAGGTAAAGGAACCAAACACACGAGCCCAGGATGAAGGCCATTCAGCACGTGAGCTTCTCCCTTTCCTGGAAGAAGTATGGTCTGAGGAAGGAAGGGTTTCTCATGGGAACATCATGTATTTCTCTACGAGCGCTAACAGTCCTGGGGACATGGTGTGATGGACATTCCCCCTCAAGAGAGCAGCACTTCCTAAGAAAGATGCTTCCTTTACTTCCACAAGAAGCAGCTTTGGGCTCAGGACAATGTGCCTTCCCAGTGTGTATTATTGAGTCTCTGTGGGGGTACCGGGCTGACATCTTCACCTGGCTTTACTGTATCACTTTGGTCAGATAAAACATGTCCCACATGGCCCCAAGGTGGAGCAGGTGTCCCAAAACCTGCTATTCTCTTGCTGTTGCTGGCTCAATTGCATTCACTTTTTCTCTCAGCTCACACAGTGTCACAACACAACCATATAGTTCTTTCATGTCTGGTCTTCATCAGCACAGAAAAGCACTAATAACGTGTCCAAGACACCACCCTCTGGGAGACGAAACACCCACCCCACTCAGCAGTCAGCAAGCCAGAGCTTCTGCTACCCTTGTTTGCAGCATCCCATCATGCAAGGCTGAAGTAACCCTCAATATTGCAACAGCCATGTCTCCATCAGTGGAGGAGTTACTCAATCAGCATGTAGCAACCCCCTGAAATGTCTTAGAGGGCTGTAAGACCTTCTCAGATGCCTGACCACCTCCAGACAAAACTGCCTTGACTCCATCACACCTCTATGCCAATAGACTGTCACAGCCAGAGGTGTTTCTCTAGAAACCTGGATAATACACAGTTGGCTCAAATTTCACCTTCATGAAATATCCTTCGCAAGTTCAGGCCGGGTGCAACAAGAAGGAACTGCTTCCTGAAGAAAGGCCTTGCAATAGGTTTCTCAAATCAGCACGCATCTAGTGCATGCCTTTGCAGTATCCGCAAAAGATGTGACATGAAGGAGCCGCTTTGCTTCCCTCCATTGCATCAGCTTCAAGTGGTACCTGGATTAAAATTGTATTTTTCAAGCCCCATTCAATTCCAATATTGAGTACACCTCTGTCCTGCTTGGGACTCATTCAGCTTACAGGCCTGCAGAAAGTGGTCCTGCTCAGCCTTGTGAAATGGGCTGCCAACACCACAGGCAATGCTGTGGTCCTAAATGTCATGACAGCAGCAGCAGCAATGTGTTTCAGATCCAGTCTTCCTTATTTTTAACAGTTTTGTACTGTTCAGTGTAACATTTTCAAAACAAGTCCTACCAGCAGCAGTGACATCTCCACTGAGGGCCATGCAGTTATGGAAGTTTAACTTTCTGGCACCATTTGTGTTTGCATTAGCAGGCACCTTTCTCACAGAGCGTTCAGAACTGGGATCTAATTTCTCTTCTGAACAGCTGCTGTAGTGTGGCTCCACCGGCAGCTTTGTAACCCATGTCACCCCATGGCAAAGACGGCTTTCTGTTTGACTACTCACTGCCCTCCAAACACCCTCATGCTAAAGGGTGTGGGATGGAGTCGGAGGTCTGACCCCCATGTGCTCCAGCTCAGCCTCTGCCCAAGTTGGTGTGTGCATGCATCCACCCCCACCGGAGGTGCTAGACACCCGAGCACCAGAAGGAGAGAAAGGCTCCCAAGGCCCTTGTCTGCAAGGGTGGGAGGTGGATGCAGTAGAATTGGGGGTCACTTTGACGGGGAAGTGTTGAAGAGGGGTCAGGACTTGGCATCTGGGATATTTCAGTCAGGGACTGTGGCTGAAAATTCAGCCTGCAGATTAACGCCTGCCGGTGGAGGACCCTTCCCAGAGAAGGTGGGCTTTGGATCAGTGGGGGAGAACATCACACAAACAGAAGAAAATGAAATCTAAACCTGTATTTTATTGGGATACCACTGATAAAAGCAAAGAGGTCATTCTGTTTTGAGAATAGGTGTGTTCAGTTAGCTTGGCAGAGGGACTGGAGGGTTCACGTGACACTAGGCACTGCCACTCGCTGGGAAGCCTGCAGGATGGAGACAAGTGGACGCTCTCAAACACAACTGGCATACTGTACACAGAAGTGGGTGGAGGAGGAATAACCGGCACTGCCATAGTGCCAGCTGAGAGCACGTCAGCAGCCTGATTTCCACCCAAGGGGGCATTTCCAGCAGATACCTGTAAGCAGGTGTGTAAGTGCCAACGTGGGCGTGCTCATGTCTGGATGTGTGTGTGTGCACATATGTACCAGGAATGACCTTTCCCACTTAAAAATGTCAGAAGAAACTACACCTACTTAAAAAAAAAATAAACAGAGAGGGGCTGAAAGTAGCTAACAAAATCTGCAACTCCAGTGAGCCCAGAATTTTACCCAGCTGTGTTTTTTTTCTGCTGCAGTTGTAGATGCAAGGAACAAAACTGTGAGAGGCAAGCCAACAGTGTTCCCCAGTCTGCATGGAAGTGTCTTCTGCCATTCAAGCTCTTGGGCCGAGCTAGCACCAGCCACTCATTTGCCCCCTGCCAGCAACCACTTTGCAGGACAGGACTGTGGTAATTTGCAGCCCCCGAGAACCCCTCACCACTTGCCCTGAAGCTGGGCAAAGCACGGCCACTGATCCAGGGTACAGCTGAGGAGCTTGCCTTCAGCACAGCTCATGTGCGCTTAAAAGGACAACGCTCCCCGAAAGCCCACGCTCAGACCCCCAGATCCTGATCTGGCTCTCTTGGGGGGGGTCTGTACAGAACCCAGTGGCCCCAGTCCCTCCCAGGGCAAGGATAATCAGCAGGGCAGGATCTCGGAGCAAGGGCAAAGCTGCAGCCTGGCCTGCCCAGTGGGTGCTATTCAGGCCCGGCTGTGGGTGGTTGGTTTTACACTCAGGTTCTGTGACACACATGCACTGTGAGTGTGCAAGGGACACCAGAGCCAGGGAAAGAAAGCAGTACCTTCAGACGTGCTCTCTTCTGGGTTGCACTGGCAGTATCGCCGGGAGAAATGAATCAGCACCCGCTCCCGCTCCTGGGTTTCTCCCATCAGAGGGAATGCTTTCAAGAATGTCCTGCAAAAAGAAAGTGATACTTAAAGATGTCGTGGGTCAATCTGCTGGGCAGCACCCATGCTAAGGAGCAAGATGGAAAGGGGGTCCTCAGAGCAGCAGGGAAGGCCTTTGTCCTCCCCCCAGCCTGTGCACCCTCGGGCCCCTGTAGGTGCAATGCAAAGGGTGTCTATGGAGCCAGCTCCGAGTTGCGTAGGGAAACATGCTGTCAGCTGAGGTCTGACCCACCTCTGGCTTGATGGCACCAGGATAGTTTGTCCATCCCCAAGGGAAGAAGATGCTCCCATTTGCTCTGATTTTGTACAGGATGGGTTTCCTGGGAAAGCTGCTCTCCACCATGGGGAAGCAGGTTGTGGGCCCTCCTGTCGAAGCCCACTTGTGGTGGCAGTACCTTGTGCCAAACGTGACACCCAAGCAAAGATTAAACGACAGCCTGGAGCTCCCCCCGGTCCCTGCTCCTACCACATGGACAGCCTCCACGGCGTCGAAGCCTGGAGGAGAAACCCACCGCGCTGCTCTGCTCTGTCCAGCCCAGGCCCTACGCGGGAGCGCCAGAGACCAGCTCACCTGAGTGCTTTGTCAAGGGTCAGGCCAGTGAAGTCAAAGAAGCTGAGATACTCCTCTGCTACCAACTTGCTAAATTCGTTACTGTAATTAAAGAGGGAGTTGTCAGCCCTTTCATCAGGGAAGAACACACTGTCTACCAGAGGAACAGCAGACTGCTGCCTCCTGGCCAGCCCAGCTCCCAGTGAGACACTGCAGATGTGAACCCAGACCCAGGGGTACTTTCCCCTAGCTTGAAATGCTGCTGGACCTCCAAAGGGCCCTAACATGCCCACAGCCTAGCACTGCGGCTTCCAGCCCTAGACACTGAGAACGAGAGATGCCTGCCCCCACTGCACCCCTCTGCTGTGCTGCCGGCCAGGCAGAGCCTCCTCCCAAACCAGCCAGATGTCCTCTGCTCACCAGGTATCTTCTCTCTTACCTAGTTCTCTTGCACTGCTGGACATGTCTCCTCCTCCTACTGCAATATTCCTGCTCCATGTCGGCTCCCATCCCACTCTCTCACCACAGCACCTTGCTTGCATTGTCAGACGGATGCTGCCGGGAACTGGAGCAGGAGAGCTCAGCTGAGATTCTGGCCCTGCTCACCCCTGAATGCTTTTCCAGAGACCATTCCCCTGCCATATTTTTGAAGAAGGCTTGGAGATGTGTTGCCTTTAAAGCCAGAATGGGTGCTGTTAAGTTCCTCTATCTACACATTTCAGGTAGTGGAAGTGCAAGAATAATCAACGAATGCTGGCGAGAAATGGGAGACGATCTCAATCTGCTCAGCCTTTGCCATATACAATTCTTTTTCCTTTTCCCCACAAAATTAAAAGCATATTGCTAAGCATTGCACACCCAGTTTCATGCCAGGACTTGTTACAGGCAGAACTCATTGCTTTTCCTACAGCATTGTTCCATCTTCTGCTGTGAGATGGATGCTGTAAAGACACTGGCATGGACGCTGTTCGGAAGCATGGCAAACAGCAGGCTCAGGCAGAGCAGTGTGACAGCTCCAGGGCAGAGGTCTAGCCTGAGTTTTGAGTGGCAGGACATAAGTATTGGTGCTGGAGTTTGTGCAGGAGACTGTTTCAAAGTGGTATGAAGCCACAAGACCTCACACTCATAAAACAATCTTATCATTTGGGATCGCTAGCTCTGGGAAAGAACGTGTCCTCACGGGCCCATGGCCCCCCTGGGTTAGTCTGTCTGAAGCAGTGACACACTGACTAGTGTGCAGATTCCTGCCAGCTTCCCAGGGAGACTTCTCCACTTCTCCTGGAACTTCACAGCAAGGTGACAGGAGAAGCAGAAGATGACCACATGTTTGTGAAGGGAGATGCCACCACATCTTCATTCCTGTGCCAAAGAACAAGCAGAACCAAGCCAGACACAGGCCTCCTCTGGGATCCTCTCAGCTCTAAGTCTGCAAAAGACCTCATGCACTGGCTGTGCCAGTGCTGGAAACTAGCCAGCGCCCTCCCTGCCACAGGTCAGGTCCCACCTCACATGTGCAGTTGTAGTCCTTCAGAAGAAAAGGTCTGATCCCTTCTCTTTGGGCACCTGTTTACCAGGTCTCCTGGGAACCTGCTTGGGCACCCTGGGCACAGGGCAACAACCACCATGTACTGCAGCGATCAACAGGGCACAGCAGTGTCTGACTCCCCCCGACCTAACCTAAAGCTGGGCTTGAAGGACTGGCCTTGCCCAAGGCTCCCTAAAGCCAAAAGACGGCATGTGGATAGCCCGGCACAGATCTTCGGTGGGCTGAATTGCTCTTGAGATGTCTCCATGGCCTACCCTGGGAGCCATACCCTAATTTACATTCCTAACTAGATCTATAGTCAGGCAGGACAAAAGATGAAGCTCCCCTTCACCCCACTCTCCCATCAGGGCAGCCTGGGAAAGCAGGGTCTTGCTGAAGGCCAGGAGGGAATTTGTGACTCCCCAGAACAAGTGGTCTGTGCCGGCTGCTGTGGTGCCAACAGTCCCCAGTCTGGGTGCCCATCACGCCTTCCTCTGTGCCTCTCTTGGTACTTCTCTGCTTGGAAAAGCTCCAGGCAGGGACTGCCAGCTCTGCCGCAGGAACCGACAGCGTTGCAGGACACCTGAAGGCAGCCAGCCCCCAGGAAGCAACAAACACCTATATTCCAGCCCCAAATGTTCTGTGATTCCGTGATCTAGCCTACGTCCATCAGGGACATTGATGGGACCCTTCACCCTGAGCTCCAGAGCCAGTTAACATGCCCCAAGCATGCCGGCGACACAGAACTCCAACACTGGCCAGGGCAAGACCACAGCCGACACTAAGGTGGGCTCAGGTGTTTGTCGTTTACCTCATTCAAGAACTGGCCTCCTCTCTCCCTGTGCCAGTCCCAGGCCCTCCTGCAGTAAGGGGTGACACTTCCACCATGCAGCTCGGACACGACAGAGACATCCCCACAAGAACAGCGAGGCGTTTCCCACGGGGACGTGTCTGGCATGCCTGCCACACAGACAGCCTCTACAGACCTTTCACCTTACACCCTAGTGTGACACTTCCTCCCTTTCCCCCGTTTGGAAAGGTCCCAGCACCAAGGGTGCTTACCGACCTGCTGGGTCACAAGCCACCCCGGGGGTAATACAGGAGCCGTGGCCTTTTCTCACAGTTTCATTCCTGCGTGGCTGGATGTGAACAGATATGGGTTGTTTTACAACCCGAGTCACACTGTCCTACAGAGCTAAGCCTGTATTGCCCAGGATCCTTTTCGTGCCATAGTCACCTGGGTCAAAAAAAAAGATTGTCCATAAGAAGTTTGGCTAAGTAAAATTCACCTCATCTCCAGGGGAGGAAAATATGCTGTGTGCCCATGCCATACTGCCCAAGGGACTCTGACAGACCCCCAGTGACGCTGAAACTGTGCTCTGCTGCCTGCTCCGTTGCTGCCTGTGTGGTTTTGTGAGCACAGTGCTCTCCTGGGAAACCCTGCAAGGAACTGCCTGGCACTACCATCTTCATGGTCTGGCAGCTGAGACAGTTCAACCTCTATCCAGCAAGAGACGCGTGAGTGTGGGTACTGATGGAGTTGAGACGATGCCACAGACCAACCCAGGAACAAGAATCTCAGAGAGTTAGTTACCAAAACACATGCTCTTCAGCGAGACGAAGTAATTTCTGGATTTGAGGTTAATTTCACAGAAATCTGTCAGCTGGAAAGAAACTATTTGGAGATATCCAACCTGCATGTCCTTGTTCATCAAGCCTTTTCTACTTGCTTGACAATGATGAATGTTTTTGGTCTCGGTTTGTTTTTTGGTTTTTGCTTGGTTCTTTTTTTAAGAAAATTGGCAATGTTCACAAAGAAAAAAAAAGGGGGGGTTAAAATGAGCTAGAATGCTTTAAAATGAGATTTTACTTTTTGCACAACCCTTCCAGCCAGCCCACCTCCTACACGGAGCTGGCCTGAAAGCATCACTTAAACTTACCCTGCTCCCACCACCGTAGGTTGGTCTTATATTAAGCAAGACCAACTTAAAACACACCTATCTCCATCCTTCTTCCTTTCCTGCTCTGCAAACTGCCTGCTTGGTCCAAGAGCCTGCAGCTCTGCTCAAGTGTTGTGCTGGGAAATGATTCAGATGCCAAAACCCCGATTGATCACAACAAAAGTTTTCGTTTAAAGACTGTGTCAATTCCCAAATGTGGGTCACCAAACAGCTTTCCAAGGTGTGAGGAATGCAGGCGTGAGTGAGGATTGTGGGAACTAGCCAAGGGACACACTCAATGCACCTCCAGAGACCCACTGCTTGAAAACTCCCCCACTCAGTGAGCTGTCACGGCAAATTTGCAAGAAAAAAGAAGGGTGTTAGACCTGCGGCAGCAGCAACCAGCCATGCACCTGCTCTAAGAATCACAGCAAAAGAGAAGAACGGGGATGCTGCCAGGTGATACAAAGAGCCTCTCTAGGAGATCATTCGTGGGCTCCTTCTGTCCCAGGACTAACTAAGCTGGGAGTCACAGACGATCCTTGGTACTGAAAGCTTGGGTATTTGCTGAGGGACAGTTGTGTTCTGCTGATCCGGACAGGAGTGAGACATTTCAAGGACATAAAAAAACCCCAGCAACACAGGTTATATCTGAGCCAGGAGAAGGATGATAGGGATTGGTGTCCTCACACCCACTGGCATCCTAAAATAATCTGTTCCTGCTACACTTATTACTGTTACTGTCTCTTAGAAATCTCTGTAACTCTCCCATTTTTGAATAAACACTTTTTATTTCCCTTCTGCCTTACTCGGGCAAATGTACCACCTGTGGTGCTCGGACCTGGCTCTCCATCAAACCCTTCATGACATCTATACAGACTGGGTCAGGAGGCACTGCAGCAAGAAGATTCCCGGGTGCAGACATGAAAAACCTGGGGACTGGCAGGGAGCCCGGTGCAGATTCAAGTCTGGATCCCAAGCCCTTCAGCCTGGAGATTGCTGTAGAGGAGGTCTCGCTGGGCCCTTACCAAACGCAGGAAGCTTGTGGGCAGCAGCTTGTGGCAGTTAATGCCCAATACACACGAGGCAACTTGTAGGATTCAGATTGTAAGGGCCTTGGGCTTGGACCAGTTTCAACTGGAAAGATCTGCAACAGCCCCAACTCCATCCAGCGAGCCGTTGCAACAGCAAGCTTGTCCCTTCCTGCCTTTGTCCTGTCCTCCCAGCACGACCAGTGCTCCCCCAGACCCTCCCCACCACAGCTGTGTTTCTGCTGGCCATGCTCAATGCTGCCATCTCAGTCAACCCCCTCACAGGGCTGGCTGCAACCCAAAGCCCCACTTACTTCTTCCCGAGCTGGCGTGCCACATCGCAGCGCTTGAAGCCTTCGAGGTTGTAGAGACGCTTGGCCAGCCTCTTGGCAGCCTCGCTATCCGCCCTGCAGCCGTTTGCCAACGTGTCCGTGCTGCCCTGGTCGAGCTGCTCCGTGCTGCCCATGTCAGAGTCGGAGTCTGACAGCGCGTCTTGCAAGCTGGCGTCGCTGTACAGAAACAAGAAACAATTCAAGGAGCAGCAAAGCAACCTGACGAAAGCCACAGAAAACGCCACATTTTGATTTCTTCTTGTCCTGACCAAAAAGTATGAAAAAGCAACAATACGCTTGTGAACTGGACGTTGGACAAACCATTTCATTTCACATCAAATGAGACAGTACAATTTAATTTCGAATTTGTAGAAAAAAAGATTGAAGAGAAGGTGACTTCTCCCTAAGAAATGAAGACACCCCGCTCAAAGCAAGCAGCCCCAACACCTTTTTAAGTTTCCTATCTCTCCATCAGTATGGAAAGGCATTGCAAGCTCTTTCAGCGCTGTGGACATTCAGGATATCTTAGGGATAGATGGTATGCGTTTCAGTTCAGATTATTTGCCGAAGATGAGCACTTCTACAAATCATGCCAATGGGCAGACCTGCTGTCACTGGTGGGCTGCTCCTCTCCCAGTTGACTGCTGGCATAGTGGCCAGCTGTCCCCACACACAACATGCTGAGCAGCCCCACTGGCGCCACTTAGGTGGGGCTGCGTCCCTTTATTTTATTGCCCAAAGCCAGTTACAGCACCTATTCACGCATTTTTGGGCAGTGTGACTCACTGAGGATCTGACAGCTAGCTGGACATAACGGTCTCACTCCAGTTCTCCCATGAGCTGGCTGCTCGACACCTGGCTTCCCCGTGCAAGGAAGTGCCCTGCAGATGAGCTGCTGCCTCCCAGGGATCATGGTTTGGGTCTAAGCTGGTCCAGAGGATGAAGTCTCTGCTGATCTCCCCCCTGCCTGCAGAATAACCTTTGGGAAGGCCTCTACAGGGGCACCCAGTCCTAAGGGAAACCTTGAGGTTTCCCTGCACTTCAGAGCACATTTGGGAGTGCGCCTGAGCGCCTCCAACCTGCCGAGGGCTTTTGCAGATGTCAGGCAGACAAGGCAGTGCTCTCCCCAGAGGGGTCCCAGCTTTGCCTGCTGTAAGAACAGACAGGATTTGTGAACAGCCAGATGAATGGCAGTGCTCGCCAGAGAAAACGCGAACACAAGGCGCTAAGCTTTGGCTCTTCCTGGGCTTGCAGGGCTCCTACAGGACCGTGCAGCTTACCTGCAGTTTGGGGTCCTGGGTTTGAGAATGGAGGACAGGGTCCCACTGGGGACTGGCTGGTTTAATGCCTTGAGACTCTGGTCCTCAGCTGCAGTCCTAACTCACAAGTAGGTTAAGTTTTTCCTGTTGGTGTTTGGCCTCTCTGCCATGACAGCACATGAGAGGAAACACAAGAGGAAAACAAGCAGCTCCATCTCTATTGTATCCTTTGAGCCTTGCTCCTGGACTGGGACCCCATAAGACAAGGAGCCCTTCCCTGAGGAATTCCCAGCCTGTCTTACCTGATAGAGTTAATGATCTTGGTAGCATCTTCCTCCGACCCTTCCACATGGAACCCATTTGGGATACTCTTCAAGGACAACCGGCTCAGCACGTTCTCTGACCTGCTGCTGGTAATTGAGTGCCTGAGAGGGCTCCCGAAATCCCCCTCCACTGGCTTTGCTGCTGCTTGCTCTTGCTTATCAGTAGCCATGTGGTGAAGGGTCTCTCTCTGCTGGGCTACCAGTTTCTGCTCCAAGAGCTCTGGGCTCTCCTTGACCCTTTGCTGGATCAATGGGGTGAGTGGGGCCTCAAAACTGACACAGCTGTCTGTCTCGTCTGTGAGAGAGAGGACGTCCAAAGAGTCCAGGCTGCTGTAGTATGTACCCTTCATAAGGTCAGACTCAACAATCTTCTCAAATGTTGAGCTGAACCCATCCCTGATGTCTTTGAATTGAAAATGTTCCTTGTCGTCCTCACTGCAGCTCAGCTTGGCATCTCCAGAAGCAAACCTGGACCAAAAGGGGAAATGTAGAAAATACTGTCAAGGTAATTGCTTGCACTGGAGCTAGGAGGCAAGAGAAGAGGCAGAAATGGATGCCGTGATTATAGGCCCTTGGGGCCTTTCTGTGCTATAACCTGCTTGGTTCCCAATTTTATTACAAGCTTCTAGAGTTGAAAAAGCCAAGAGTTTTATGATGAGCAATTCCAGGGGCCCAGCCAACCCTTAATTTGGTCATGCCCCAGTAAAAAGCCAGACCTCTGAACCGGAGACGTTTGCACCTGACACCTGCTACGCTGTGGCTTATGCTACACTCACGAGACCTGACAGGCCCTGACAAATAAGTTTTTGCACACTTTGGAAGTCCCCTCTGATGTTTGAGCCATCCAAGATGCTGTTTTCAAGCCTAGCTCTGCAACCACATGGGTAAATGCTTACATGAATCTGTAGACTCACATAATCCCTTGATTCCAGGAGCTCAGGGCTTAAGAAAACTGTCACCCAGTTCAGAGCTGGCCGTCCAGCAAACCAGATACAAGCAGAAATGAGTCAGACGGCAGCAGCTCTAGCCCAAAGAGCCCTCATCCTCAGGACTCCTTCTCTTTACAAATCCATCCATCCCTGCAGGGCAAACGGTAGTGCCTGGCCACGACTTTGCGTACAAAAAAGATCTCCTCTTCCACAAAGCAGGCCAAATTTCAAAAACTTCATCCCCTTGTGACAAGAAGGACTTTACAGCCTTCATTATACCCAAGAGTGGGAATTATGGACCTGCCTTGGCAGCCCGTCCCACTGTCAAACTTGTTGCAACAGCCCCCATCCCCAATGAACTTCCCATGTCCCCTTCCCTACAAAGGGTCCTCGTCCTCCCTGCACCAACGAAAAACCCTGGCCCTCTGTGGTTTCCTGAGGGTCCTCCAAGAGAGCCATCACACCACCCCTTGGCCTGCATCGCTTCACTCCCATCACCAGCACGTCTTTGTGCGGGAGCACCCATGCGGGAAGGTATGCCCTGGCCCACCCCGAGAGGTTTAGCGCACAGCGTGTGTTTCTGGGGGTGCTGCGCACTGCAGCTGTGTCTGTAGGTATTCTCCTGGGCAGCAAGCCCATCAAAAGCCACCGAGCCCTGCACCTCCTGGATATTACTTAGCAGGTCCCACATTGCCATAAGCCCAAGCCACACAACTCCTGCTCTCTCACCACACTGAACAGAATAATTTCCATTAACTGTTCACACCACGGAGCTTGTATTTTCTAACCCTTTATTTATCCCTTGAGCACAAACTTGTACAGCAGACAACAAAGCGAGAAATTCTGTGTCCCTACAAGTGAGCAGCAAAGGCTGCGGGGACAGACCGCAAAGACCAGGGCAGGAGCCATGGTCCTGGACGGGTCAGTGGGAGCCAACAAGTCAGGCACTTCACATCTCTCCTTGTGTGGTCCCAGAGAAGACAGAGCACAAAGAGCTTACACCAGCCCAGGAGAACCATTTGCATCTAATTCAAGCAAGGCCAGGCTAAGGTGGGAGACAGTGAAAGACCTCGCTCGTGTGAATGAACCTGACAACCTCCCGACAGAGAAGTGTCACACACCTACCACACCGCAGGGAAGGCAATTGCTTTACTTAAATAAGGAGCCGTACATTTATTTGCATTGTAATCACAGGGTTCTGTAAGCATATTGAAGTAACTCTGGACCTAATTGTCTGTGCTGCTTTTCCCAGTCATCTCTGAAATGCTGCTTTATTGCTTACAGCAAGGCATGCAGAGCAATGCACTCGGTTATTACTGCAGCTGAACCGTACTGGATTTTTATGCACTGAGTTGCTTACATTTCACTTCTCACTGGTTAACTAGTTGTAATAAAGAACAACCTAGTTTGCTGTGTTGGTGGAGTGCGGAGTCCTGTCAGAGAAGGACAAGATAGAAATCAGGACTTTCTTGCCTATGCACCGCAAGCTTTCTGTGAAGCTTTTCTGAAACTTTATCCAATGGAATTTGAATTGCTCGATGGCTCTGTGTTGCCATGGGAAGAAATGTGTGGACAAAGGCAGCGGTGCCAAACCTCCAGGTACTAACTGCATCTACAAGCCAAAGGCGAGGATTCCTCTATGAAAAGGTTTGACCGTTTTGCATGAGTTCATGGGGCTGAAAGCAGAGAATATCATTCACTGATGGAGCTCTCAGGATTGACTGCAGCAAGGCCAATGCTGGGGGCTTCTGGGTGGGTGAAAGACCTCTAGGCAACATAGCCACAAGGACAGGAAAATGAGGCTTCCACAAATGGTATATTGGCATGCCAATGGGATAAACTAGGAAGGGGGTTAAAAGGGTTCAGTTAATGCAAGCTGCAGCACAAGCACGAAAGCTTTGGCTTTATTTCCTTGACTTTGTTAACAACCATTTCCTGCACAGACACACTAACCTACCTTTAGCGGAGCAATCATCGTTTCTTCCTCCAGATACACTGTGGACTTGATGACCTTGATGACTTTTTCCCCTTTATTTCTCCATTGGTTCAGTGAGAGGAGCAAGACTCAACCACTTCTTGTAAAGTACTTTTAAGATCCAGGGACAAAACACACGATACGAGCACCAACAGGCAGAACGATGACAAGTGATTCGTTCCCTAGGAACGAATAGTTGACTACTCATCAGTAAATCACTAGGCCAGAGACAGGGAAACACCAGGTTCTCCTATATCCAGAATTGGTCGTAACAGAAACAGCAGGGGAGTAAAGAAACAACTGGGCAAACTTAGAGATGACGCAGGGTGACAGCGACTTCCTGGTGCCTCAGTCCATGTCAGCTTTGTTACTCCTGACCTACACCGATCTGGGAGAGCCAGCCAGTCAGTTATGGTCAGGAAAGACCAACTCCATGCTGTGTTTGGCCCAGCCACATTTTTCTGCCATTTAGCCTAAAGGTAGGTGGTCAGAGCACCAAGGAGCTCAAACACAGTGAGCTAACTCCATCCCTAGGGCAATAAGTGGTTTCCCAGATTTCAGCTCTGTCCCTGAAGTTTTCTAGCTGCCCTTCTCCCTTTGAATACAGTGTGTGACTTGTCCCTTGTGCATTCACCTTCCCAAAAGACTTATTTGCTATCCAAGCAAATATGCTTAGAGCATAAGATCACGGGCTGTGCATGCAGAGCCCAGTCAGGTTGCATCATCTCCAAATCCTCAGCCTGCCGCTTCTCCCAGTTCATGCCTTAGTACCTTAAAATAATTGCATTTCCAGTGATCTTAGCAGCATTCAGTGACCACCCTTAGCTTCCTCTTGAACTCATAATCTCTGCCAGGGAGCCATATACCAAGCAAATATAATTCCCTTACAACCTGAGAGACTTCCAGACATCCAAGACGTGACTGCATAGCTCATAGGGCTCGTGGGACCTGCCTGGGGGTAAAGTCCTCTAGCTCTCTGGACATCAGCAGCCCACAGTGGACACGCTTCCTCTTCAATACCTTCAACTGTGCATGTTGAAACGGTGCTGCTCCTCTTGCTGAGGGCCTTGGGTAAAACAAAGCACCAGCTTTTTATAGTAGAGCCTGTTCAACACTAGGGACACAATGAATTAGGGACGCCTGCCGTCAGCCCACATGCTGTGTGGCTTCCCAGCTCTGCTGACACTCCTTCCTACGCTCCAGACAGCACTCTGAACATACAGCTCAGCCTGAAGCCTGCACCAGACTAAAACTAGCAGGTGATTCACAGGCCCCTCTTGGCCACCCTGCCCCTTTCACGTCTTCTCCTCTTAAGAAGGCCATGCTCCTCTGTGACAACTTCTACTGCTCTTCTCCAGCCGCTCCTGCTTGCGGCATTTCTCCCATGCCAGGGTAGGTACACAGCCAGGGCCATAAGATTCACAACAGCTACCAAGCCTGGGTGGCTACAATGCAGACCCCTAGATGATTTCTGGTGGCAAAGGGAAGCGTCCAAACTCCTCTCACGGGAAAGGCATGGGAAACACCCCACCTCATCCCAGTGCCTGGTCATTTCCCCTCAGCCTTCAACCTGCAGAGCCCCAGGGAGATCTAGGCACTTGCAGAAGCACAAAATCAGCTGCGGACACCGCACCGGTGCGAGCGTCCCCCAGCCTGGAGAGTTCTCCTGTGAAGTCCGGCTGCCAGTACAGAGGACACAAAGACCGAGGGGCATTGCACAAGTTCTGGTTTGTCTCAGGCACTTGAGAATAGGACGACACTCGTATCTCTTGTCTCACACTGCTATCCCTGCACCACTAGGCACTGGTAACACTTGCCACAGGTGCAGCAGGGAGCAAAGCTCAGTGCCTTGTCCTCTCTTACTAACGGCATGGTTCTTTGGATGCAAAGCTGTAGCCTGCTCGCCCAGGGACTGCCAGAGCAAGCCATGCTGCCAGGACCTTAGACTCTGTACCAACCTCCCAGACAAGCCTGGCTCTCCATAATCCCCAGGCTGTTGTACTCGCCCTAAGTTATCCCAGGTAGCTCTGCAGCTGAACCTCCAATTTGCAAGCGGGACACTCCCAAACTGAGCACGACCAACACCCAGCATTCTTAAGACCCCTAAAGCTTCCCCTCCGCTTCAGTGCCTCTGTGGGCAGGCAGTCTTTAATTACAGCTTTTCTGCATTTCTACCGGGGAGAAGCGGCACGAGAAGCACAGAGAGAAAAGAGCAAAAAAGCCACATTCAGCCACGCAAGCAGCTGAGGAGTTACACAGGGAGCAGAGGAACCCGAACCGAGGGGGCTTGGGAAGCAGCACCCCCCC